TCTGTGTCTCCAAGGATTGGGGAGGAGGAAAGAAATAATTTATTTCTTTCAATGCCACCCAGTGCTAAAGGGGCAAGCCACATTCTGCAATTCAGCAGCAAGGTGATTGGAGGAGTGCAGGGTAGACATGGCAGGACATCAAGGCCTCCAGAGGGTGGTACCAAAAGGCGAGTATGCTCTGGCCACGGAAACATTCCATAGAAAACCTGGGTTGTGCAAGACATTAGCCCCATGTCATAGGTTCACTCCTTTTCCAGTCCCACTCCAGACTTCCAGGATGCCAAAAGCAAAAGAACCCACCCACTCACTCATTTGACAAATGCTCACTGAGCAACTGCTCCATGCCAGGCACTGGAAATGCAGTGAAGAGGAAAACAGATGCAGCCTCCAAACTCAAGGAGTTTATGGTCTTTTGGGGTAGCCACACCTTTAGCAAAGAATCCTAAATAAATGTATGAGCTATGATGGTACCGTGAACATTTCTAACAAGAAGATGTGAGCCAGTCTAGGGGGGTGAGGACACTATTCCCTGAGAAAGTAATTTTTAAGATGAGATCCAAAGCTGGTGTAAGAGTTGACTGGGTACAAAAGGTGTAAGGAGAATTCTGGACACATCTCCCTGATGTAGGGGATGTAAAGAGTGATTGTCAACTGTGTGAGCATGTTTTGCATTGCTATAAAGGAATACCTGAGGCTGCAATTCATAAAGAGGTTTATTTGGCTCACAGTTCTGCAGGCTATACACAAAGCACACTGCTGGTATCTCCTGGTGAGGACCTCAGGAGACTTTCAAAATGGCAGAAGGCAAAGGGGAGCCAGTGTGTCATAAGAGCGAGAGAAGATGCAAGAGAGAGAAGAAGGAAGTTCCAGGCTCTTTTAAACAACCAGATAGCGCATTGACTAATAGATCAAGAATTCACTTATTACCTCAAGGACAGCAGCAAGCTATTCATGAGGGTTCCAACCCCATGACCCAAACACCTTCCACTAGGCCCACCTCCAACACTGGAGGCCACCTTTCAACATGATATTTGGAGGGGACACACATGCAAACCATATCACCAACTCAAAAGGAGGGCCATCAAGAAAGGAGGAGAGCCATCCAGACACGATGTCCCTCTTATTCATATTCACAACACACCCCCGCTCCCAATGTACTTGAATCTATCAGAGCCTGTAGATCTAACTACCCAATTTACAGGAAATGCAAGTGACAGAGGAAGATGTTATGACATTACAAGGATATAAGCAAGCAAAAGCAGACTGAGAAACTCTACGAGACAGTTTGGTTTCCTTCCACAAATAAATTGCAAAAGGAGAGAGAAAAAGAGAGAAAACTTAGAGATAAATGTTTGCTATGTTTGGCTATTATTTGGATTCCAATTCAAAGAAACCATTAACAAATTATGACACTTATGAAGCAATCAGAAGCCTGCACACTCAATGAATGTTTAATACTATTAAAAATTTGTGGCTGGGTGTGGTGGCTCATGCCTGTAATCCCAGCACTTTGGAAGGCCAAGGCGAGCAGAGCACAAGATCAAGAATACAAGCCCAGCCTGACCAACATGGTGAAACCCTGTCTCTATTAAAAACACAAAAATTATCCAGGCATGGTAGTATGCACCTATAATCCCAGCTACTCAGGAGGCTGAAGCAGGAGCATCTCTTGAATCCGGGAGGCAGAAGTTGCAGTGAGCAGAGATCGCCCCATTGCACTCCAGCCTGAGTGTCAGAGTGAGTCTCCATCTCAAAAAAAAAAAAAAAATTGTTAATTTTTTTAGATATGATAATGTTATTTCAGTTCTGTTTTCAAAAAGTCCCTATCTCTTAGAGATAGATACCAAAATATTTACAGACAAAATGATGCAATACTGCAATTTGCCTCAAAATCATATGGTTGGAGGAGAAAGGAATGAATAAGAGTATAAATGAAACAGATTCACCATGCGATCCTTGTTACTGCTAGGTATTGAGTACATAGAGATTCATTTTACTGGCCGGGCACGGTGGCTCAAGCCTGTAACCCCAGCACTTTGGGAGGCCGAGGCGGGTGGATCACAAGGTCAAGAGATCAAGACCATCCTGGTCAACATGGTGAAACCCCGTCTCTACTAAAACTACAAAAAATTAGCTGGGCATGGTGGTGCGTGCCTGTAGTCCCAGCTACTCAGGAGGCTGAGGCAGGAGAATTGCCTGAACCCAGGAGGGGGAGGTTGCGGTGAGCCGAGATCGCGCCATTGCACTCCAGCCTGGGTAACAAGAGCGAAACTCCGTCTCAAAGGAAAAAAAAAAAAAAAAAAGAGATTCATTTTACAATTCTTTTCTTTTTGTATACGCTTGAAATTTTCATAATTAAAAATTGTTTTAAGTGCATCTCTAGCAAAGCTTACAGAATATGCAAAAGCCCCTGGACACGAAGGAGTCTGCATATTCCAGACCCCAAAGGTGTGACTAGATCTAGAGGGTGAAGAGGGTGTCCTGTAGGGCTGGGAAAGGAGGGGACTAGATTGTATAGGGCCCTGGAGCCTAAAACTTGCCCCCTTGGAGCTTATGGGGGCCCCTTTGACCCTTGGGATGAGTACAGTCCAGGGAAGTCAATTCTCCTTTTGCAAACCAAAGGAGGGTGGAGACGTGTAAATGGGCACCTGGCATATGAATACCTCTTGAATCATTGATGCAAGGGTCTCTCCTAGAGGTAGCGCAGTCACTGTGGGTCATTTCTAAGCTGGGAGGCAAGATGTAAAATTCCTGCTGTGTGTTTCCGAATCCCTCCCTACCTTGTTTTGTGGCAGTGAAATGCCTCTTGGTCCTGTCCAAGTGTCTCACTGATTTCTGAATCATGTTCTAGTTGCTTGGTTCTGCCACATGGGTCCAGTGTTCCTTTGAGCATAACTGTACTAAATCCTTTTTCCAGATCAGTATAATAAAGGAGTGATGTGCAAAAAAAAAAAAAAAAAAAAAAAAAAAGTTGTAAAACCAAGTAAACAGTCTTGAAGTAAGAACACAAGAACATGGACACACTGTGCTTTCATTTTCTGTGGCTACCACAACAGGTTACCACAAACTGTGTGGCTTAAAACAACAGAAATTTATTCTCTCAAAGCTCTGAAGCTAGACATCCTAAATCAAGGGATCGGCAGGGGTATGCTCCCTCCAAAGGCTCCAGGGAAGAATCTTTACTTGCTTCTTCCAAGCTTCTGGTAGCCCCACTGGTTTTTTTGGCTCCTAGATGCATCACTCCAATCTCTGCCTCTGTCTTCACACAACCTCTTCCCTCTTTGTTTCCAAATTCCTCTCTCCTCATAAGGACACCAGTCATTGGATTTCGGGACCAATTTATTCCAATATAACCTCATCTTAACTTGATTACATCTGCAAAGGCCCTGTTTCCAAATGTAGTCACATTCATAGGCATTGAAGATTACGGCTTCAACCTAACTTTTGTAGAGACACATTTCCACCCACCACACACTGCTTGTCAAGTGGACCCTGGAGCTGGACATCAATAGGTCAATCTGGATCTGCCACTGACCCCTCAGGATTTTCACACTTCCTAGAGTCTAGGGGTCCTGAGACCCTAGAATATCAGGCTAAACAGGCCCTAAAGCATGTCTGATTGGGTCTCAGCTTTTTGGGGAATCCCAAGTTCTGTTGGGAATCTAACAAAAGCAATGGATTCTCCCACTAGAAAAAATGTTCACTAGCAGCTACTTGTAAATATTCATCTAGAATTTGGGGAGGTTCAAGGACCTCTAAAGCCTTAGGCCCATGGAGCACAGACAAAGAAGGTCTGGGTTTAGTTTTCCAGACCAACATTCTTACCATGGTTCGGTACCCAGTGCCTAGGATTCATGCAAAATTGGCATGCTGTTTAAGGGGAGGGCAGTCATTTTCTCTATAGAAGCAGCGTTCTCTCTCTGTCTCTCTCTCTCTCTCTCTCTCTCCCCCCCCTTCCTCACTCCCTCCCTTGTTGCCTCAGGCAAATAGCTTCTCAGAGAAAAAAGGCATGCCACATCCCAGGCCACAGAGCCCAGATAACAGCAGGACTCAAGTATCCTCAGGTTTTCCAAGCAAAGTGCTTACATCATTCCTTCTGGCTTTCAATGAGCACCCTCCCTCCACCCGCACGTATATCTTAGCCCTCTTTTCAGTGTGCCAGGCTGGGGGCTCCCAGTAAGGGGAGAAAATCCAAAGAAATCTACTTTCAGAAAATCCAGTGTCTCCTCTCTTCAACCTTTTATGTCCTCCTCTGGATTTAAAGTCCTTTAACTGGTTCTTTGATATTTCCTTTGAAAAATCTGCATTTTGGTCTCATGTTGGAATTTTTTTTTTTTTTTTTTTTTTTTTTTTTTTTTTGAGACGGAGTTTCGCTCTTGTTACCCAGGCTGGAGTGCAATGGCGCGATCTCGGCTCACCGCAACCTCCGCCTCCTGGGTTCAGGCAATTCTCCTGCCTCAGCCTCCTGAGTAGCTGGGATTACAGGCACGCGCCACCATGCCCAGCTAATTTTTTGTAGTTTTTAGTAGAGACGGGGTTTCACCATGTTGACCAGGATGGTCTCGATCTCTTGACCTTGTGATCCACCCGCCTCGGCCTCCCAAAGTGCTGGGATTACAGGCTTGAGCCACCAGAATTTTTTAGCTATTATGTTTGGTGCCCCAGGCGAAACATGCAGTTTCAGGTCCTGGCCCGGAGGTTCAACTCTGGAGACAGATGACAGAGCTCTGTCTGCTCCCCACTCCCACCCCCACAGTGGGCTCTGCAAAGGGGAGGGATTGTGCCTTCTTTCTCACCCAGAACCCACTTCTGACCAGACACCAGAAAAGTCTATTTGGTGCCCTGCAATGGCAGAATGGAATCTTTCAGGAGACCAGCCAGCAACCTACCCATAAGACTCAGTCCAAGTTTAAAGGACTGGACCCAAAGCCAACATCAAAAACAGCAGGTTGAGTAGTGGCCCCCAAAAGATATGTCAACCTGGAACTTATAATTGTAATAGCCTTATTTGGAAAAAGGGTCTTTGTAGAGTTAATTAAGTTAAGGATCTCAAGATGAAATCATCCTGGATTAAGGTGAGCCCTAAATACAATGACAAGTGTCCTTATAAGAAAAGAGAATGGGTGAAGGCACACAGAGAGGGTAAGGTGAAAATGCAGACAGAGACTAGAGTGATGCAGTAGCAAGCCAAGGAATGCTAAGGATCCCTGGCAGCCACCAGAAGCCAGCAAAAAAGCATGGGAAAGAACCTCTTTCATGAGACTCCAGGAGGAACCAACCCTGCCTACACCTGGGTTTCAGACTTCCAGCCTCCAGAACTATGAGAGAATCAATTTCCATTGTTTTCAACCACTCAATTTGTGAAAACAAATAAAAGACCAACCACAGCTCTCTCTCTCCCCTCTAGCTCTGATTTTCCCCTTTCCTTTCCTTCTGGAGGGCTCCTTTTTCTTGCCCCTGCCCCTGCCCCTGACTTTGGTTTTCCCAGACAGATGAATACAAGCACACAGCTCTTGTTGGTCAACTGCCATACCAGCTCCAGTCTGCCCCAGCCAACCGGTGCTGACGTGACTTGCACTCAGTGAACATGGCCTCAGGCAGATTCTGTTCCTCAGCTTCTCCAGGGTCCAGGCCCCCTCTCAGTTCTTTCTCCTCTCACACTCAGTTCCCTCTGACTCTGACTACAACCTCATATCCTGCCCATACATGCAAGGTTTGTGCAATTCTACCATGTGACCAGAGGTCCAGGGTCCATTCAAGCAACCAGCAGGGACTCACTGGGGCCCGGCTGTGTGCCCAGCACAGTGCCAGAAACTAGGACATAATAGTGAAGAAGAAAGATTGCTGTCTCCCCTAAGGCAGGTCTCAACTTACTGGTCTCCTCCTTCAGGACCCAGGAGGGCACAGACAGGTTGGCAACTTAATCTCCTTCCCTATCAATGGAAACCTATCAATTCATCATCACCACCTTGCCACCAGCTGGCCAGACACATAGACGTGCTTCCTTGCCTCATACACAGCTAGCCTCGACATCTCAACCCCTCAAAAAGGTGATGAATTCTAGAGCCCCAAGAAAAAACAATCAGGATCCAGAAAATGCCCATGACTTCACAAGTCTGTTATGAAAGACTGTCCCTCAGGCGCTGCTACGGGTCAAGCTTTGTCCTCCCCAATTTCAAAGGTTGAAGTTCTGACCCCCAGTGCCTCAGAACATCATCATCCTTAGAACCATATTTGAAGATGATCACATCAAGATGACGTGGGCCCTAATCCAGTATGACTGGTGTCCTTTTAAGAAGGGGGAAATTTGGGCACAGAGACACACACACAGGCACAGAGGGAAGACAATGTAAAGACAAAGGGAGAAGACAGCCACCCACAAGCCAAGGCGAGGTCTGGAACATATCCTTACCTCATGGCCCTCAGGAGGAACTAACCCTGCTAACACCTTGATTTTTGGACTTCTGGTCTCCAGAACCGTAAGACAATACATTGAAGCCGCCCAGTCTGTAGTACTTTGTTATGGCAGCTCTGGCAGACTATCACAGGTGCAAATATTGAGTGTGACAGTTCCCTGAGACAATAAGATTGGGGGCAGCAAGACCAAGGCAACCATCAAAAGGCAAAGTGATCAAGGTGGAAGACAGGGACTTCTGGTGCAGGCTCCCCTGAGCATCAGGAGTTGTGTGATCCCTCTCATCAGCTTTCCCACGAACAAGGCACAGTGTTAGATTCAGGCACACCTTGTCTCAAATCTGGAATGCTCCACTTTGCAGCTATGGCACTTAGTCCAGATTCTGGGATGAGCTCCCTCATCTGAAAAATGGGAGCACAAGCTCCTTCACAGGGTTGATAGGACTGAGAATGAAATGTAGCTAACAAGGGTCCTGGACTACGGGGGCCCTCTCTGTGGGCTACCTTAGGTTGGTTTCTGTATTAGTCTGTTCCCATGCTGCTAGTAAAGACATACCCAAGACTGGATAATTTATAAAGGAAAGAGGTTTAATTGACTCAAGGTTCCATGTGGCTGGGGGGGCCTCATGATGGAAGGCAAAGGAGAAGCAAACACAGGTCTTACATGGAGGCAAGCAAGAGAGCTTGTGCAAGGGAAGTCCCACTTATGAAACCATCAGATCTCATGAGACTTATTCACTGTCACAAGAAGGGCACGGAAAAGACCCACCCCATGATTCAATTGCCTCCCACCAGGTCCCTCCCACAACACATGGGAATTATGGGAGCTACAATTCAAAATGAGATTAGGGTGGGGACTCAGCCAAACTATATCAGTTTCCCTCAGAAGGAGACACTGACATTAAGGATTAAGGATCTAAGTGCAAGTGGTTTATTTTGGAAGAGATTCCAGGAGTCCTCAGCAGGGAAGTATTAAAGTCATACAAGAAAGAAGGCAAAAGGGGGTATATTATTAAGCCAGCTATCATAGTAGTTATAGGTGCTTAATCCCAGGGGAAACTGAGAAATGGTATAAAACAGGTGCCTCTTGGTCAGGCATCGTGGCTCACTCCTGTAATCCCAGCACTGGGAGGCCAAGGCAGGAGGATCACTTGAGACCCAGAAATTGAGACCAGCCTGGGCAACATAGTGAGATCCTGTCTGTATGAAAAATTTAAAAGTTAGCTGGGTGTGGTGGCAAGCGCCTGTGGTCCCAGCTAATCAGGAGGCTGAGGTGAGAGGATTGCTTGAGCTTAGGAATTCGAGGCTACAGTGAGAGCCATGATCACACCACTACACTCCAGCTTGGGCAACAGAGCAAAGTACTGTTTCAAAAAAAAAAAAAAAAAAGTCACCGTAGTATTACTCTATGTGAAAGATGAAGGAGCTCAGGCATTTATCCACCATCTCCCATCAGGCATGGATGGAGGGCTAATTACTTCGAGCAGTGTGAATTTCTGAATGTAATTGTTTCCTATTGCTGCTATAACCAATCACTACAAATTCTGTGGCTTAAAACAGCACAACTGTATTACCTCCTGGAAGGCAGGAATCTGAACTGGGTCAGCAGGGTTGTATTCTTCTGGAGACTCTAGGGGAGATTCTATTTCTTTACATTTTCTAGCTTGGAAAGGCAGCCTGCATTCCTTGGCTCATGACCCTGCATCATTGTGATTTATTCTACTCTTGTCACATCTCCTTCTCCTCTGCTTTCATTGTCACATCACAGTCTCTGATTCTGATCCTCCTGCCTCCTTCTTATAAAGACCTACCCAGATAATCTAGGATCATCCCCGCGTCTCAAGACCCTTAATTCAATCACATCTGCAAAGTACGTTTTTCCATCAGGTATTCTAATTGCCTTTCTGGCCTGCCCCACAGAGGCAGAGCTGCCTTTTGGGGTATGGGAAGCTTTCAGGTACAAACATGTAGATATTCTGAGAGTATAGATATTGGTCCCCTCCAAGTCTCATGTTGAAATTTGAATACCAGAGTTGCAGGTGGGTCCTGGTGAAATGTGTTTGGGTCATGGGAGTGGATTCCTCATGAACGGCTTGGTGCCATTCTCATGTGATTGACTGAGTTTGCACTCTTAGTTCCCATGATATCTGGCTGTTAAAAAGACCCTGGTACCTCCTTCCTCTCTCTCTTCCTTCCTTCCTTCCTTTCTTGCCATGTGATACCTGCTCCCCTTCCCCTTCCACTATAATTGGAAGCTTCCTGAGGCCTTCACCAGAGGCAGATGATAGTGCCATGCTTCTTGTACATCCTGCAGAAATGTGACCCATATAAGCCTGTTTTCTTTATAAATTACCTAGCCTCAGGTGTTCCTTTATAGCAACGCAAATGGACGAGGACATAAAGGGCTATGGAATATGGGCAGGGCACTGACACTGAGAAACTTCTCTGTTGTTAGCAGGGCACAAAAACAAAGACATGCAGGGAAAGTTGGTGAGTTGGCAGAGGCAGAGAAGGTGGTCATAGTGGTCTCAGAACTCTCAGACTAAGGGATATTTAGTTTCAAGACTAAAGTATTGAAGAGGAATGCATTTGCTAGAACAATCAAAAGAGCCAGAGTGAGACACAAACATGTTGGGTCCTCACAACAAGTATTTCATGATGGGGAGAGCACATACATTGTTTCCTTTTTATAGCTGAGGAAACTGAGGCCCGTTAACTTGTCCCAAGCTGTACAGCGGAGGAGAAAAGAACTGATCTTGGATTTTCTGACACATTACCCAGGGCTGCTCTCACTGTCCCTCATCTAGCTACAGCACAGCCTGAAAAAGTCTGGAATGAGTCAGGCCTGTGGCCACACCTGAGAAGATGCCAGCCCCTCAGTCACTTAATCTTCTACCTCTGAGCCTTTGGGTGTCTGGCTGAGCTTCTGGAATTGAGAGAGACCCAGCAGGATTGTTGATGAATTTGATTGCTTTACCAGAAGTTTAAAAATGTAGCTACTATGGTTGAGCATTGTTTATAATCTATCTCTGGTAATTTGCCTCCTACGTGTGAACATGCAAGATCAGTTGCCAAATCCTGTCGATGATATCTCCCCAATCTCTCTCTCCCCCATCTGTCACCTCTTCTCCTTTCCTATTCTCCCAGCTCAGAACTCTATCGCCTCCCACCCGGACCACAGCAAAAGCCTCCTCGTGGTGTCCCTGTCTCCTGAATGTCCCTGCCCCAATCCATCAGACATCCTGCCTCCTAATAAATTCCAGCTAAGATCAGTGTGGGAGAGGCCGTCAGTGCCCCATCCATATTCCTCCAGATCTTTCCAGCCTGGTGTGCTCCTGCAGGCTTCCACTTGCCAGTATCCATATTTCGGTTTCAGAGGGTTTTTTCCAGAACCACAAGTTGGAAGGGCCAAGGAATCAGTGCCCATAGAAAACAGCCCTCCAGTAATGATGGAAGGAGAGTTGGTAGATAAATGTCCCAGCTCTTGCTCGCTTTGGAGATAACTCTGAGCTGTGTGCTCTGCATTGTCTCCCAGAGTTCCTGTGGGACCAAACCCCAGTGGCCCTGGTAGTAGCTGGCTTAATACATCCTTTATCTCTCCCTTCCCTTCCCTGAATCACTTCTCTATTCCCCTGCTATTTCCTACAACCACCTTCCAAATAACTCATTGTCATTGATTCCTTCTCTCAGGGTCTGCTTCTCGAGATCCCAAGCTGAGACAATCAGGGTCCTCACCTACACAACTTGCCAGAAAATGTCTCTCCATGCCCTCCTTAGCTTGCTCTCTAAGGCTCTCCAAGGCTGGTCCCAGGCCAACTTTTCACTTGAACTCCATGTCTCTATCATGCACGTGACACAGAAGTCAAAGAGCACTGCAGGCTTATTTGCTGGTTTGTATCCTCATGCCTTAAAGCTATCTGGAATCTTGCCCTCCTTTTCTTACATGTTTTCTCCATTCTATAAAAGTCAGTTCAGAGGCATAGTTGAAACAAAAAAAGAATGTTGATCATTGTTGAAGCTGGGGATGGGGCCATGGGTGGTCGTTATACTATTCTGTTTACTTTTGTACATCTGATACTTTACATAATAAAAAGCTAAAATTCAAAATCCATTCCTGTGTGTGACAGACATTGTTGGTGTCCTGTCCATATGTCCTCATTCCTACAGCATCCACGCACACTCTCTGTCTTAGGGCATTCTGTAGTGCAGGGCAAGTAGGGGGTGCCAAGGATCTTATACTCTCCACAGCAGCTCTGCACAATGGATGCATGGAGTGGGCAAATAAACACCCTGACTCCTCACTCTCAGGTATGATGACTTTGAGGGTGACTGTCTCCTGGCAATGCCCAATAGGACTAAGACCCAGACACTTTTAGCACACCCTGTGTTGACTTGCTCCCCTTCCCTGTCTGGCTTCCCCACTTCCAACTGGTGTTGGCCAGGATGTCCTCTCAAATGAAATCCTTACACACAAATCCTAGGCACGGGATCTCTTCAAGGGGCAGTCAATCTAGGGCAACATGTCACCATCACCATGAAAGCATAACTTCTTCCTAGATTAGAAGTGAGGTCCTCCTCCCCTGAGCCTCTGGGGCATGTCATCTGGGCTCTGGAAGATTCGGGACAGACTCCTTTAAAATGTTTGGAAGCGCTGGGTACGGTGACTCATGCCTGTAATCTCAGCACTTTGGGAGGCTGAGGAGGGAGGATGGCTTGAGCCAAAGAGTTTGAGACCAGCTGGGGCAATATAATGAGACTACATCTCTACAGAAAAATATTAAAAATTAGCCAGGTGTGGCTGTGGTCCCAGCTACTTGGGGTCTGAGGTGGAAGGATCACTTTAACAAGGACGTTAAGTCTGCAGTGAGCTGTGATCACACTACTGCCCTCCAGCCTGGGCAACACAGAGAGACCCTATTTAAAAAAAAAAATGCTTGAAAGGATGGCAGGATGGAGCCTGGTAAAGAAATTACCAGAGTAGAGCTATGAGGCCTGGAGGCCAGGGCTAACTAAAAATAAATGTCTTATTAAATCTGGATGGATCAAGCCTCAGAGTGCCTTTAATGCACACTGTCCCCTCCTAAAAGAGTTGTTCTGCAGAAATCATCATTGTGGTGTCTCACACTAATTGGCCAAGGGTGGGAACCTGCCTCAAGAAGTTGTATTTCCACAGGTGCCCTGAGTGAGAAGTATATAAGGGCCTGGTTAGGAAGAAGACACTAGGTAAGGATGAGGAATAGAAGGGGAATCCAAGACCAACAGGGTGGCACTAGAGGTGGCAGGTGCTGTGGGAAACCAGTGCCAAGCTTCCACATAGACCCTGGGAATGGCAGAGCCTCTGCTGGGGGCGCTGCATGGATCCTGGGATCTGAACTCTAAGCTCCATGGCCCTGGGAGCCTCAGTGAAGGACTTGGGGACTATGATGGGCTCTGAGAGCATGGACAATGTTAGCGGGAAGCTTTGACAATAAGCAGTTCAGTGACCATCACCATGGCTTTTCCCCCAGTTTCTAGTCTGCTAGTCTCAGGGACTCATAAGGCTCCAGAGAAAAAAAGGAACTTCCCAGAAATAAGTGACCCTGGTAAGTGGGGCCTCTGAACCAAACACAATAAAGCCATATGAAGTGTCTTGCCTTTAAGAATGATGAACCAGACATTTGTATTAATTTATCCCTTGATGTCACTGGAGGGATTGACTTCCAAGGATGGGTTGGGAAAGAACTTGTGCTGTTTTATCTTAGGACATGTGCCTTGGGAGCCCTGAGCGTTCACAAAGGGAGTCCTGCTTCCCTATGAAGCCTCCATCCTGGAGATGCCACATGGAAAGACCACACAGAAATATAGAGAGGGGTGGGGGAACTGGGAAGATGTTGGTCAAAGGACAGAAAATTTCATTTGAAGAAAAGGAGTAAGTTAAAGGGATCTGTTGTATTTCATGGTGACAACAGTTAATAACAATATATTGTATACTTGAAAATTGCTAAGAGAGTAGATTTTAAGTGTTTTCACTATGAAAAAATAAATATGTGAGGTAATGCATATGCTAAATAGCTTTCTTTAGCCATTCCACAATGTATACATGCATGAAAGCATTATATTGTACACCATAAATATAATTTTTACTTGCACTCATATGTTTGTCACAGGACTATTCACAATAGCAAAGACATGGAATCAATTTAAGTATCCATCAATGAATGTTCAGATAAAGAAAAGGAGGTATGTGTCACAATAGAATACTACTTAGTCATAAAAAAGAATAAAATCATGTCTTTTGTAGCAACACTAATGGAACTGGAGGCCATTATCTTAAGTGAAACAACTCGAACAAAAAGTCAAATACTGCATGTTCTCATTTAAGTGGGAGTTAATGTGTACACATGGACATAGAGTGTGGAATGATAGACACTGGAGATTTAGAAGGGTGGCAGGGTGGGAAGGGAGTCAGGGATGAGAAATTACTTAGTGGAGACAATGTACATTATATTTGGGTGATGGTTACACCAAAAGCCCAGACTTCACTATGACACATGGAACAAAACTGCACTTGTACCTCTGGAATGTATACAAATAAAAATAAAGAAATTGCTTTTTAAATTTTTGTTTGTGATTATTATGAATACATACCAGTCATACATATTTATGGGCTATTCTGATGCAAGCATGCAATGGTGGAATAATCAAATCAGGGTCACTGGGATATCTATCATCTCAAGCATTTATTATTTCTTTGTGTTAAAACATTCCAGTTACACTCTTTTAGTTATTTTGAAATATATTCTTTAAAATAAACAAACAAAAAGGAAATATAGAGAGATATCTGAGGAGCCCCACTTGTTCCAGCCCCAGCTGTCTGAGCCAACAGCCAGCATCAACCACCAGATATAGTAGTGAGTGGCCTTCAGATAATCCAGGCCCCAGCTTCCCAGCCAACTCAGCTCACACTGAGTGGAACAAGGAACAGCTGTTCCTGCTGAGCCCTGCCCAAATCATAGATTTATGAGCTAAATAAACACTGTTGTTTTGAGCAACTAAGTTTTGCACTGGCTTATAACACAGCAATAAGTAATCAGAAAACCATCTCTGCCCCAAAAAATTGTATGGTTATTGAGATCTCAAAGTCCTTTCTGACTGTGGCAGATACAACACTATGTGTTCACCAATCCCTATTTTACTTACCCATTGGGTACATGGGAAGACTACATTTCCCAGCAACCTTTGCAGTTAGGTGGGGCCAACAACTGAATTCTGGACAGTAAAATGCAGCCAAACTGAGACCTGGTCTCCAATACTTCCCACACAGTCCTATATGCTCTCGTCTCTCCTCCATCCACTGGATGGAAAGGGCCAGTGGAGGACTCCAAGGCTGGAGAATTTGGAAGGCACCTTACCCAGGCTTCTGAATCACCTCATGAAAAAGTGAATGCCAAATACCTGCAGGTGCTTAGCCACTGCAGGTGCTTAGCTACTGAGGGTGCTTAGCCACTGCAGGTGCTTAGCTACTGAGGGTGCTTAGCCACAGCAGGTGCTTAGCTACTGAGGGTGCTTAGCCACTGCAGGTGCTTAGCTACTGAGGGTGCTTAGCCACTGCAGGTGCTTAGCCATCACGGGTGTTTAGCCATGGTAGGTGCTTAGCCACTGTGGGTGGTTGGCCACTGTGGGTGCTTAGCAACTGAGGTTGGTTAGCCACTGCAGCTGTTTAGTCACTGTAGGTGCTTAGTTACTGTGGATGCCTAGCCACTGCAGGTGCTTAGTTACTGATGGTGCTAAGCCACTGTATGTGCTTATTTACTGAGGATGCTTAGCCACTGCAGGTACTTAGGCACTGTAAGTGCTTAGTCACTGTGGGTGATTGGCCACTGCAGGTGCTTAACTACTGAGGGTGCTTAGCCATTTCAGGTACTTAGCCACTGCAGGTGTTTAGCCACTGTAGGTCCTTAGCCACTGTGGGTGCTTAGCCACTGCAGGTGTTTAGCCATGGCAGGTGCTTAGCTATTGAGGGTGCTTAGCCACTGCAGGTGCTTAGTTACTGAGGGTGCTTAGTCAATGCAGGTGTTTAGCTACTGAGGGTGCTTAGCTGCTAAAGGTACTTACCTAGTGAGGGTGCTTAGCCACTGAAGGTACTTAGCCACTGCAGGTGTTTAGCCACAGTAAGTGCTTAGCCACTGCAGGTGCTTAGTTACTGAGGGTGCTTAGCCACTGAAGTTGCTTAGTTACTGAGGGTGTTTAGCCACTGCAGGTGCTTAGCCACTGCTACTTGAGGGTTGTATGTCACAGCAGCTAGGCTTCCCTGAGTAACATATATCTATACTACCTTATTTTCATCTCCAAAGAACTATTTGAGGGGGGTCAGATAGTGGACACTGTTGACCTTTCACTTTGTATCTTCTGCCTATATTCTTAATTATTAATGTCCCTCTCTTGGATCCTTCACCAAACTGTAAACTCCCTTGGGGCAAATTACCTTCCTAACTATTGTATCCTCCAAAGATTTAACATGGGTCCCCGCACATTTTGAACAGGCTCAGTCACCATTTCTTGGGTGAACACAGTAACATTCACTGACATTTATCAAGCAAATACTATGAATTCCATATATTTTAACATATTTAGTTCACACAATAACACAATGAGGTGGTTATTATTATTATCTCTAAGTTAAGGAATTGAGGATCAGGAAGGTTAAGTAACTTTCCCAAGGCCACGCAGCCAGCACTGTCTGGCTCCAAAGCCCAAGCTCCTCACCACCGCTGCCTCTGCCTGGGCACGATGCAGGTGTCGCACATTGTTTCCAACATTCAGGATCTCTGAAGAGAAAAGTCAACCCCAGTGCAAGTATTCACCACACACTTCCTCTGAAGATGGCTTCACATTCACCCAAACGCAGAACACCAGGCATGACAGCCTTGTCTTCAGCATCACCACACTTGATCCTCAAGCTTCTCCAGTCCTGGAGCCCCCAGTAGTGTGGCAGCTCCAACAGGCAGCCTTCCTAACACACCTCAAGTGGCCAGGTGGCTCCAGATGCCCCCTGTACCTTCCAACCAGCTGCCACAGGCCATGTCGGGGCTGACAGAGGTGCACAGGTGTGGTCCCTCGGTGCTCATCCATCACCACTCACAACTCTCCCAAGTCCAGCTTTGCATTCTGCTGCAGTGATAATGTAAACCCATCAAGAGAGAAAGAGAGCTGGAGAATATGTGCATGTGTGTGTGTGTGCACGTGTGCATGAAAAGATTTGCCTGGATACACGAACCCTTCACCAAGGATGTTCCCAGCCCTCATTTGTACACACAGTCTTCAAATATCAAAGTGTTTGTTAAGCGTAAATATTTTTATTCGCTCCCCTCCTTCTCCTCCCACTTCTCTTCCATTCAGGCTTTGAGCTCAGCGGATGCTGGGAGACCCCTCTGATTCAGAGCCAGCAGGGATGGTTTTTGGAAAAGGGCACTTCCAGGTCCCAGTGGGCAGCCGGCAGCTGAGCCTGACAGCCGCCTGGGACTTGGCTCCCAGCAGCAGGCTCCTAGCTTGGCGCCTGTTTCCATAGGAACAGGCAGGCCCGGGATTGGCGGCCATGGGAGCGTTACCCACGCCGGCTGCTTTTCAAGTGGTCCCTGGGTGTACCTCCCCTCCCCTGCCATGCCTGTGCCTAGGCCTGCCCTGGAAAAGGGCCTACGTATAGGGGAACTGGGAGCTTCCCCCAACACTCTATTCTGGGGCACTGAGAGTCTGAGCCAACACCTTGCTTGGAGCCGTTGTTTCTCTCCCGTTCTCTGCCTTCCTTCACTGGGTACTCAATGTTGTGCCCAGCTTCACTTTCCCACAGCATCCACCCCCCTGGCAGAGGACATGGAGCCAATTGAGAGAGCCTGTGTGAGGTCATGCTCAGAGAAGGCACCAAGCCACACGGGCAGCCGCTCACTCTCATCCAGTAAAACCCTATTATTAAGCATCTCTCTGCTTCACGGTTTCCTGTGCCCTGCAGGTCAAGTTGTGCTCTGCCTCTTCATTTCCCTGCTACCCCTGTGCTGTGCATCTCTCATTATTAAACAGTAGCCGGCAAACAGCGTGGCTTTCTAGGTCTCGAAAGCCAGCACGATTATGGCTCTACCGGAGATAATTGGGAATGAGCACATGGATTGCTGCCTTGCTCCCAAGCTGCGTTCTTGCTGCCAGCGGCTCT